CCCAAAAAAAAAGAGAAAGAATAAGACCCTTACACCTTAGAATTAAATTAGGCTTCAAGGTCTCGTAAAAATTTCATAGCTAGATAGATCAAATGAGCAACCGTAGTTATTGTCACTGGCTAAATTTGCTGTCGAAATCTTCAGCTGATCATTATCTTCAAAAATTGATCCGAATTCTTGAAACTGCATCGTTGGTTGCCACGCAAAACTTGTGTTATAATCAAATTCTTCCCCTTGCCCCATTATTTCATCCCCGATCATGGCTTGCATTTCAACAAAGCTTGGGTTAAAATCAAGAAAATCTTGTCCACTTACTTCATGAATTGATTCACCTCCTTGTATCCGTTCCTCTTGAAGGAAACCACAAGGATAATCTTGATAATTACCCATAATTATGGTCTCATCCAATTGACTCTCATTCTCAAAAGAACTTGGATTAACCAAGCTATCTAATGAAGGAGAATTTGATAAGCTTGCTCCAATAGAACAATAATCTTGATCAGCCAAGGGAGATTCTTGAAGAATATTATCTTGATCATGATCATTATCATTTGTTGTACCTTGGTTCAAGTACTTGGCGAAAACATCGGCCAGATCAATGTCAGCTCCGGCAGCTTCATTGCCGGAGAGGGTGGGATTCAGTGTTAGAAGGGTATTATCGTCTTTTCTAGCGGATCTTGAACGTCGACTTTTCCGACAACCGCCGCCAACGGGGACGTTTCGGAGAGAACCACCCTTAGTCCAGTATCTCCGGCAAGCTTTGCAAAAATACCTAGGTTGTGACAAACTATAGTTGTTGTAGTAACAAAACTTTGTGTTGGTAGAGGCACACCTAGGACAATTTGGTGCATGTTCAACGTTGGACTTTCGGTTTCTCTCCATCATGATCACTGGCCTTGAAGGGAACGCTAGCATGTTTGTGAAAATTATCACTCTTCAAAGAGTAAAAAAATTTAGATACAGAAGATAGAAAGAGAGGGAGAGAGTATGTGGGATTGACTAGGGGTAGTGGGGTTATATATAGATTTAGCTAGAGAGTAAATTGCAGGACTTAGTCCTTGAAGTTTGGCTTATGATATATTTGGTCCATCATGTTTAGGTTGTGTCCAACTTGCACACTTGTCACTCCATGATAGTACTGCAATTTATTGGTGGTCCATCATGTTTGAAATAACTTATATTAGGAAGAATTATCTAGTCTTAAATTGGAAGGGAAAGTGATCATTTTTAACACAAAGTTGAAGGAAGGAAATGGTTTTTACACTCATAACTACTCTCCTCCTCCTATTTCATGTGGCGGTTTTCAAATTACGGATGTCAAACTATTTAACATTTTTATGAATTCAAATATGAATTCTTTAACTTCTTTTTAATAAAGAATTATATATTTAAAGTACATAATAAACATTATAAGTCACAACAATTATATAATTCTAAAATATTTAAACGTTAACGATCAAAAAAAATCTTTGATTCCCCAAAGTTGACGGTGCCACATACAATAAAACAACGAGAGTAAAATTAACTGATCAATTCAAGAGGTTGATACAACGTGAATTTTAGGACCAAATTGGACGTTAAATAAAACTTCAGGGGGTAAAAGGAATCACTAGTAGTATAGGTTATGCTCCCACTGGGTGGGGGTTAGAATAGGGGCCCGAGAATTGTGAAGGGACCCCTACATCTGCATGAGAATGTTTTAGGGGAAGGAGGAAGTGAGAGAGTGAGAATTAAAGAAGGTTATGTGTATACGAATCCGGATTGGGGTAAGTATTCGTTAATCATTAATTAAAAATTTCAAGTTCGAGTTATGAATATGAAATTATCTTTGTTAAGGAGCATTTTACTTGTAATTGTGAATCTTCTCAAACGTAACTTAGTTGGATTTCAATACAAATATCGAATACCGAAAAGAAAATACGAATGAAAAAAAGAAGAAGGTCATGCATGTGTAGAGTAGAAAGGCTGTAAACAGATCGTGGGCGGTTTGAGTTTGCGAGCCGTTAGGTTCAAGAAAGAGTGTATTAACCCCCCATGTGAATATGTGAATTATTCACAAGGGCCCCTCTCAGTACTCTACATGGTTTTTTTGACAAAGGAAGGAAGATATTTCACTGTTTCATAGGCGGATTATTAGTAGATGTCTATACGTCTTTTTTCAAATTGGTGCTACTTGTGTGTCATTCCCTTATTGGGTGATTATGAGCGTGATTGATGTTTATAGTCAAAACTTCTACTAGTTGTCATTACCCTTTCTCACTACTAAACCCTATCAATTGACTAAGTTGCCCCTATCCCGTTTCTTTTCAAGTTTCAAAATTAGGTATAGGCTGCCTTTTAATATTAGACGCTTTACTTTAGGTTTTGTGTAGGCTATATTAACAAAAGGATTAATTGTCTTCATAATTAGCAACTAACTAGGTGGGGAAGCAATCGTCTAGACAAATATTGATTGCAAAAATTAATGCATGAGTTTAAGGATACATTTATCAAACACAACTATAGTAATTAAGATATCTTCTGCAGTTACATCATATGGTTAAGTAGGTGGATAAGTAAATACATATATGATGACTGATCACCTTTTATATCTTGCCTAGCTACCCTAGAACTATCAATCCTTAACTTGATGTGTTGTAATATTCTTCTCTTTCGATCTTGCATAAATATTTTGTATAAAAATATTCTTTATTCTTTTGTAATACCCTCAATATGTATTAATTAACATTGTGGTCTCCTTGGATAGTAAGTGAATTTTACTACTGCCTAAAGAACCTTTTGCAAAACAGATGTCATGATTGAAAATTTCACTTTGGCCTGCATATTAATTAAGTTATATGGTTACTGAAGAAATTTAATGAGTTTTTTTTTACCAAAATAGCCATCCCAAGCTCTCCTACTTCCTTCAACTAGCAATAAGATATTAATATTGTCATATGGTAACCTTATATCATCGATGCATCCATTAAGTACTTTAGACCTCGGCTAGTTTAAGCTCTCCAAATATTCATGACACTAATCAATTGGATTGTAAATGACCTAGTTCTTTGTAAATAGGGTAGCAAGGTAGTATTAAAATAACTTACTTTAATTCATCGTATCAATACATTGTGTTTATGAGCACGACTACCCCCGTATAATTTAAAACTTGTATTTTAATTCACTGTTTTTCTATCATAATAATGATACGAAGAATGATGACTTAACCTAATAGCTGACGCTTGTTAATAATCATTAATCATTTAATCAAGAGATTTTTTGTATTTTTAAGAAGATGAACAAATGTATTGTTTCTTAAACCTAAAAGGTACTCTCTCGTGTCCACGATGAATTTTACACTCCCTTTAAAAAATAATAAATGAAGTATATATTTTATCATAATACCCATAAAAAGTCTTAGAAAATGATTTAGAAAATGAGTAATTAATGATAGAGGTAAAATAAGAAGAAAAAAAGTTTATTTTTCTCTTAATTGCTAAAATAAATAAGTAAAAATAAAAATATATATTTAATATAGTAAACAAATAAAAGTGGACATAATAGGTGAATGGATTATTTTTAGTAGGCATCATTGGCTGAAATATACTTTACTAGTAATCTTTGATGATTAACGTAGGGGCAAATATGGAAAACCACGTCGGCACGTAGGAAGGGCTAAATGCAGTGCACTTTTCAGCATGCATGGGAATTATCAACGAAGAATTAAAGCAGAGGAAAGCATGTTGCATTGCACGTGCAGGATCTGCTAAGTAACGTCTTCCTTTTCTTTAATTATTATTTTTAATTCCTAATCGAATAGGAGTAATTTTTAATAGTGCACCAAATTAAAAATTAAGGGGTTCATTAGAAGTCATTCTCAAAAGTTGGTAACTCAGATCCGCGTTTTGATAAAGTCAAACTATTTATTCAACGTCAATTAGAGTATTGATATGGAAGTCAACCTTTGTATATATATTTTTTTTTGTTAAAGTTTTCAGGATCATTAGAGGCGGATCTAGAGTGAAATATTAATTTTGGGTTCATGTAAATCTAATAGCTTTTGTTCAGAACTTTTATATATATTGATAAATTCATTGAATATTTATAAAAATTTAATTGTTGATCCAGTTATATATTATCATATATGTAACTTGTTGTATAAAGGAAGCCATAAGTTTCAAATCTGGATTGGCATTTGACACTCATGAACATTTATTTTTCATTATCCTTACAGTTTGTGCCAGTTACCAAAGAGTTAGAATCAATAAAGAAACATATAGAGGTTCTTGAGTTACGTTGTCTAAACTGGGTTTCTTTTTTTTGCAATCTTTCTTTAGGGTTTACAGTTTTCGAATGCCATAATAATTGGATATATTTTGAATGAAAGAGGATTTTACTGAAGAAAATAGGGAGCGTTTATTTTTCCAAACAAGTATTGCCTTTTGTAATATGGCCATTATTTTGTCAAATGGAGTCCATCTCACATAAGCATAAGCATCTTTGCAAAGTGTAGACTTTGTTGACAATATTCTTTGGGACCCAAAAATATTGCATTGTGTGTTGGACATCATTTGCACAAGTTGTATCTCTTCTTTTACACCTAAGAGGTCAAGACTTTTTTGCCTATAAAAGGGAAGGCCATTAGTTCATTTTAGACACACCAACAAGACTTGTCTTCAATTCTTGTTTCTTCCTTTCTTCCTTTATTAAGAGTGTTTTGTATGAGAGTTAGTGTTGGGAAGCACTTGTGTGAACCCTTTCTTTGGAGTGATCTTGTGAGGTTATTCTCTTAGGGTATTTGGGATTAATTAGAGTGTTTACTCTAATTTTGTACTCTCTTTTGTACTCTTATTGTTATAGTAAATTGCTCCTCTCCGCTTGTGGACGTAGGTCACTTTGACCGAACCACGTTAAATTTGTGTCTTCTTTATCTACTTTAATTGTCGTTGTTATCAACTTCCATTGTCTTTGTTATTGTCATTATACCGTTGTTTGGCTAAATTCCGCACTATCCGGGTTCCCGATCCTAACAAATTGGTATCAGAGCCGGATCTAACCGGGTTAGTTTCAATAGCCAAAATGACTCTAACAAAGACCTATGTTGAGAAATTTGACCGAAGAGCAAGCTTCAGAATGTGGCAATTAAAGATGGAAGCTATCCTAATTCAGGATGGCTTAGACTTGGCGTTACAAGGAAAGAAGAAGAAGCCGGATAAAATGACGGACGAGGAGTTTACCATCATAGACAAAAAGGCAAAAGCAGGTATTATTTTAAATTTCTCAAATGAGGTTTTACGTGAAGTTTCTGTAGAAACCTAGCTAAAGGCATGTGGAAAAAATTGAAAACCTTATATATGAAGAGGACGGTGGAAAATAGACTTTACCTGAAGCAGAAGCTTTATACAATTCGTATGAGTGAAGATACCTCTATTCTCTCTCATCTTGACACCTTTGATTCCATTCTTATGGATTTGAGTAATATAGATGCTGAAATTAAAGATGAGGATCAAGCTGTGTTACTGCTTTGTTCTCTACCCCCATCTTTTAAGCATATAAGAGATACTATGCTTTATGCAAAGGATAATATCTCTTATAAGGATATTAAATCTATCTTAAAATCAAAAGAACAGATAGATAGTGATATTACTGGGGAAGCTAGTGGAACTCAAGCGGAAGTTGGCTTGTTTGTTAGGGGCAAATCCGACTCCAATTCCAGATACAATAATTTAGAGTGTCGCTATTGTCATAAGAAAGATCACAATATTTCTGAATGCTATAAACTGAAAAATAAAGAAAAGCATAAAGAAAGAAAAAATGAGCACAAAAATACTGACACCGCCGAAGCTAGTATAGCAACTGATGAGATTGAGGGAACTATATTTTTAGCAATTGAAACTAGTTTCAGATTAGACAATGAGTGAATTTTAGATTTCGGTTGTTCATATCATGTGTGTCCTAGCAGGGACTTATTTTCTACATATGATTCAGTTGCAGG